TTTCTACCTGTTTTTACGACCTCCTGTTGCTGTTTCTTTTTTTCTTTTTATTCTATTCTTTATTTAGATGATAGTTGAGAACAATTTACAGACAATTACCCATGCAGTTACAGAGGGTTTAAAGGGTCCACAGTGAAAGTCTGCAACAAACATCTAGATAATCTTGAAACCCTTTTCCTCCTTAACACCTCTTTAACATCAGAGAATCATAGTGAACCATTTGTCTTAAAGCCTTTCGCTGCAGTCAAATGTATAGAAATAGAATACTGTAACTTGTTTTTTTATTTTGCTTACCTAGGAGTTGTTATTGTGCTGGATTTCAAAGCGGAGAAAAAGAACAAAATCAAACACATTGAAATCCTGAGAATAAAAGAAGTTGTTCTTATGGATGCATTTCTTTTTTGCTCGAGATGCTTTGTTCTGAAATCTAATTAAAGTCCAATCCTGCGGTACTTTAAATTCAATCCCTTTCACAAGTTGTTTAACTCGGCACCTTTTTTTTTTACAGAGAGCTTTTTCTTCAAACTAATAGGCACTAATAAGGAAACATTCAGGATTATCTTTTGACAGCGAGGCGTTATTATAGCCAGCCTGAAGCTGCCATAAAGCCTCTGGGACAAATGTCTCTAAATCCTCTCTTTAAAAACTCTGTGTGCGTGTTTTAAGAACAATTTCTGATATCGTCATCATATATTTTTTTGTGTATCAAATCCAGCAAATATTTAGTGTCTTCTCTCCTGGCGAGGGATCTGCTCAATCATCCAAACATCTGTTTTTATTATTTATCATTTTAGTTACGTTTCCTCCTTAGACTCTTTACACCAGTGGTTCTCAACTGGTGGGTCTGGACCCAAAAGTGGGTCGCGGAAGTGTTATCAGTGGGTCGCGAGCATGTGCCCTTAAAAAAGTCTGTCTTTTTTAAAACATGGTTTGTTCAGTTTCTTTCTTCCGTCAGATGTTTTGCACTGTCTGAGGTACAAACATTTGACTGTAGCTGCACTGCACCATTTTGCATTAAATAAATCTAATCGGTTGAAAAATATCAGAAATTTGGGTCGCTATTTTTCAGAGAGGAGCTGGTGGTGGGTCCTGAGGCTCGACGAGTTGAGAACCACTGCTATAAACCATACATGTAGTCTCAGTTATGGCACCCATTAGTTACTGAAGGAGAATTTTTCAAGCCCAAACGAAGGCAGGCGCCGTGATGACAATTCTCCCTCAGCCTAACCTTCAGTCACTCAAGTAACAGACAAAGAGGCGGAGCTGAGCCGGGCCTTAAGCCTCCTGACAAACAGCTACAATGAACCTGCTTGCAGTCATATCAGTCATACCCTCCATGTAAATATCAAAAAACTCTTATCCTTTATCAAATCAAAAAAAATGGATGAGTTATCGTCTTATGTGTGCCAATAGAGAGATGAACTTTTAAGACCAAAATCTTCTTTGTCAGCAGGCTGTAGGAAGACGAAGAAGAGGCTGTATACATTTTTATTTAACATGTTTATTTCTACTGTATGTGTGACTTCTGGGCTTTTTGCAGATAGCCTCAAGTGGACACTCGAGGAACTGCAGTTTTTTTATACTTCAGACTTGTGTACCACAAAGACTTGTGTCAATCAGTGCACTTCTAGTGATGAAAGATAAAACAAAAAACTCAAAGTACTTGGTCTCTTTCGATTCTCTGTTTGTTTTTTAAAAGGATGTTCCCGCTTGTTTCCCTCACTCAGATCAACGCGGCGTTGTGATCAGAGTAGATATAAAACCGGCCTGTGTGCAGCTCTAATGGGATTACACTTAAATACCTAAAGGGTTTTCAACATCGTTACCACCATTACCATTTAGTTTGGCACAGAAAGGCTGCTTTATGGTGGAACTGAGCCAAATCCCAAAATCCCAAAGTCAGAAATACTAGGAACAAGTTAGAGTCCTAGCTGACATTTTAAAAGCATTTTGTTTTCATGCTGTTTTAAAAACAATGTGCACCATGCATTTTAAACTTCACGTCCATTTGTGAATTTAAATAATAAAAACAAAAGTTGAGGACATTCTTCTCCCTGATTCAAGCCAACTATTTTAATGTGACTGACCTGTATAAGATTTATCACAGCTCCCAGGGTCTGCAGATGTGAACCAGCTCGAAGCTAACTCTGGTACAATGAATCAAATGGCAACATTTATGATGAATAGTGTACAAGGTCCCTGTACATATAAATAATAAAATCAATCTGCAATGTTCATCTGTATCACTTTTTGTTGATTTGTTTCCAGATTAAAGGAGTGTTAGTGCTTTCCTTTGACACATAGCGTGTGTGTTGCAGGTGGGTAACCTGGGCCTGCTCTTCATGCTGCTGTTTTTCATCTACGCCGCCTTAGGAGTAGAGCTTTTCGGAGAACTTGGTGAGTTTGTGTTACTTCTTTGAGAAACTGTTTGTGGTACAGAATATGAGCAGATAGGTATGTTGTCAGTGTTTGCCTATAGAGATCAGGTACAGACAGTATGCTCTTTCACTAGTTTGAGTCATCCTTTGATCGTATTGCATGACGATGCAGAAATGTTGATCTAGTCCTCGTTGAAGAGCGACTGCTCCACAGATTCTTACCGTTTAAGTTTAAAGGCTTTATATGTGATTTTAAATATCACACTTAAATATAATATAAATCAAGAATATCCTCTGAAAATAACTCTGTGAGTCATGACTGTCTACAATGAGTGTAACACCCGAGTCCCACTGTCTGTGATGTTTTCAGAGTTTTCTGAGTCCTATCTTCAGTTTGTTTACATCGCCGGGACGGCCGGCTGACTCCTCCCCTCTTGTATAAAAGTAGTTTAATTGAGGGACTAGAGAAAAGAAGAATAACATACTGTACTCACTGCTTAACTGTGTTTCTAGATCACGCTCATTTCAGGTAAATTTACATGCAGTGTGAAGATACAAGCATAATAAAGATCGCTAGCATTAGCATGCTAACACAACAATGCAGCACAAGTTGTTTTGGTTTCATGCTGGTGCTCAAGGGCGACACCTGCTGGATCAAAAAATCACATATAAAGCCTTTAAGGTGATTATATACACATGGATGTTTTCTTGCCATCATAGTCGACTCAGCACGAGTACATAAATGCAAAAAGGACACACACACATATTAATGAAATCGCCTTATTTCCCACTTCATGCTTTATTCCTTTTTATCAGTTCTCTCCTGCAGTCAGACGACCGTTAGGGACTCAGCCCACGCTAGCATTCTGAAACATAAGTACTGTCCTAAAATATCCGCATTGAAGTCGGGAGATATATCTTACAAACTGTCACATCTCCCCTGTGTGCTGCTGCTGCTGCAGCCAGTGGCAGCATTGCTTACTATTGGAGCTTTGCAGGAGAGAGGATTAGTGGAGAAAGCAAGTGTCTTTTTTCTCGAGGCTATTCCAGAGATTATCTTGGGATATAAACTCAAAAAGACAAATAGTGTTTGGTCACACTGCTGCTGATTTAAAAAACAGACAGTGTCTACACTGTGTTGGCTTGTTTGGACAGTCATCCAGCTTAGGAACATAAATGATGCAGGCTGTTTTTTATTTTTTTTTTGGTAGTAATGACATGTGAAGTGTTCAAATTCACAAGCCTCTTTCTCTATTGTTATCCCTGCTTCCTCCCCTGTTCCATTTCTTCTTCTTGTCTGTCTATCCTCTCATCTCCTTTTTATCTGTGACCTGATAACTTCTTTTCCCTCCTCCATCCACCCTCCCATACTCCATATTCTCATTCCTCAGTTTGCAATGCAGACTACCCATGTGAGGGTATGAGTCGTCACGCTACTTTTGAAAACTTTGGCATGGCCTTCCTTACTTTGTTTCAAGTCTCCACGGGCGACAACTGGAATGGCATTATGAAGGTACGAGTTTTAATTGAAAAAGCTTTAACTCTACTCTAGTCATGCTTACTAGCGCTAAAAGGAAATGCGCTTGCTCAGCATTGGCAGCATAGATTTTTCTACTGATGGGGAAGGGAGGGACTATGCCTCATTGCACACACACACACACACACACACACACACACACACACACACACACAAAGAACCAATTTCCCCTGAACACACATCAGCAGCTATCCGCACACCTAGGCTGCGAGGGGAAAAAGAGATTATACTGGAGCTTGTCGGGTGTGGACCATTAAACACACACTGGATACAGGCTCGTAGCGGGGCCATGAAGTAAACCAGCGGGCCACAGATGCTACCTCGCAGAGTAAATCTCAACGTCAAATTACTACCTGGGCTGTGAGGGAGGTAGATCAGACTCGGTTTAGTACGAGGCAGGTGAGGCGGCGTGGTAATTAGTTGCATAGCGGCGGTACAGCAGGCGAGAGAGGACAGAACGAGGGCGAGGCAGATAGGTGAGAGGGTGGTGGGAGGAAAAAGGAGGCACCGGTGAAATGTCGTAAATGGGAGGATAAGAGAATCGAGAGGAGGTTAAAAAAACTGAACCCGGGATTATGCTTTCTTCCCCTCCAGAGAGAGAAGTGATAACGGAGGGAAAGAGAGCTGCATGAGAGAGAGTGAAAAAATGATGCGGAAAAAAAAATCTAAAAGAGAAATTAGATCGAGAAGGCGTGAAGTCAGAAAAACTGGATATGTGTGAAGAAGAGCCGTGTGTAAATGTCAAATTAGATAGAAAAGACCAGCTCGCAGGGCTGTAAGTGTTATGTGAGGTCACAGCCTGGGTGAGAAATGTGTACTTCCTCCAGAAAAAAACACTTGTCACTTTGGTTCTGCTCCGGCTGAACTCCACCGTGTGCCTTGTTCACCGAAGAAGAAAAACGCTCCTCGTGTTGTTTTTGCATGGAAGGAAAAATAATGAAGAGAATGATGATTATACGAGCTGTCATGAATACAAAGAGCCTTGTTAACTTCAGCTAGATGCATTTTTTTTATCACCTAAAATGTACTTTTTCTGCTTGTTAGCTCTCTGAAGCTGGCTCTCACTTCAACAATGAATGAATGTTACAACTCTAAAATAAAACAGATTTAGTTGCTTAGCAGCTGTGTAATGTTTCACATGTTTTAGGAAAAACTGTAATTTTGTGAATGCTTTCAAACACTGCTCTCCATCCTCCCCTTTTTTTTCCTCCTCTGCCTCCGGGACACCAGGACACATTGCGGGAGTGTCCACCTGACCACGGCACAAACGTGGACTACGCCTGCAATCCGAGCCTTCAGTTTATCTCGCCCATGTACTTTGTCTCCTTCGTGCTCACCGCCCAGTTTGTGCTCATCAATGTGGTGGTGGCCGTGCTGATGAAGCACCTGGACGACTCCAACAAGGAGGCCCAAGAGGAGGCGGAGATGGATGCGGAAATTGAGCTGGAGCTGGCCCAGGGCACCCTCTGTTGCATGGGCGCCCCCGGCTGCGGGGGTGCAAAGATGGACAAGGGACTGGTCATTGCGGGATCGGGGCCCGGGGGCCCGACGGGGGGGAAGGACAGAGGAGGTTCCCGAGGAGATAACGGAGACGGGATGAGGAAGATGCGTCATGCATCAGCCGCCGCCCACTCAGGGGGGTACAACTCCCGTGACTCCAGCCTGTACTCACCAGCACAAGTGAGTGTGTACATCTCTGTGCGTGTGTGTTTGTGTGTATGTGTGTGTGTGTGTGTGTGTGTGAGCAAGTCTTCCTCGTAGTGTCAAAGATGTTTTTTTTTTATTTGTGTGTGGCTGATGGTGAACGTGTTTTTTTGTGTGTCTGAAAGTAGGGATGTCTCATGCAGATCTACAGGAACTTTTATGAGAATTTCAATTCTTGTTTGATGAAAGAGTCACTTTGACTAAACAAAAATGACCTCACTGTTTTAGTCTCATCCATTTCTGAGGGGTTTACTATAAAGCAGGATATTCAGTTATCGAGGTAACTTCAGGATTTTCTGTGTTTTTCAGGAGATTTCTGCAAGTGTTAAAGCACTAAATGTTAGCAAGAATTGGAGTGGAAGTGGACGGTAGTTAGCGCTCAATCATACACTGCAACATTAAGGTATTAAACATTGGGTAGAAGTTTTTAATTTGCACTTTTGGAGCTCTGCTATGTTTGGAAGTTTGAATTTCAGATCATCACCCAGTGTGATCACATACTTTGATTATTAACTATTCAGATTAGTATCCATCACAAAAACGCTTACTGGAGACATCCCTACTTGAAGCATTCTGTTCTGTTTCTCTCCGGCTGCCTGTCAGTTTGCTTCTCAGTGTCATTGCATTAGGTCATGCAGAGAAAATTACATATTGGATTCACAGGCTGGAGGAATACAAAGGAGGTAAACAATATGGCAGTCGTTTCTGTATATTGTTTGAATGGCGCCGACACGGGAGAGGGCAGGAAATCATTGCTCTGTTTCATTTTTTTTTTTTGTGAAAATGATTGACAGCCACGTTGCATGATAACGTTCATTATGAGAATCTCTTTGTAGAAATTCATTCTTTCTTTTAAACCGTTGACGGATAAAGAAGGTCAAACATTTATGCATAGAGAGAAAAAGTAAGACGTAGAGAATGGAAGAACAGAGCGGAGGTTAAATACTTTAAAGAAAGTTCACTGCAAGTATGTTAAAAAAAACAATTACTGAGAATGTAAAAGTGTGTTTTTTCTATCTTCCTCTGGCTGAGTAACAGAGACCCGTGTTGTCCGACCAATTAAAGTAATTCATTGTGTAATTGAAGCTTCAGCAGACTGTGTGAGCTCAGGTTACATACAGTAGATGCTCTCTGGTTACTGCATCACAGTCTGACTGCGGAGCCTCACGTTCCCATTATGAAATCTCTATTTATAGCCTGAGATGTCCACGCAGAAACACGCATAGAGATGACTCATCATCTGTCATCAAGTGTCTCACCTTTGTGGGGCTAAAGTTGGTTTGCATGGAGCCATTTTTAGCTCGCTGTTTGAGCACAGCGTTGGCTGACAAAGACATTTAATGCAGACCTCGGAGAACACACTGGCAGCATCCTCCCTTTTCTCTCTCTCTGTCCCCCACTCTTTCTCTGTCCCTCTCTCTCTCTCTCTCTCTCTCTCTCTCTCTCTCTCTCTCTCTCTTCTCTCTCTCTCTGTCCCTCTCTCCCCTCTCTCTGTCTCTCTCTGTGTCCCTCTCTCTCTCCCCCCTCTCTATCTCTCTCTCTCTCTCTCTCTCTCTCTCCCTCGCCTTCTCTCTCCTGCTCTCTCTCTCTCTCTCCCTCTCTCTCTCTCTCTGTCCCTTTCTCTCTCTGTCCCTCTCTCTCTGTCTCTCTCTCTCCCCCTCTCTGTTTATGTCCCTCTCTCCCTCTCTCTCTCTCTGTTTCTCTCTGTCTCTCTCTCTCCCCCTCTCTGTTTCTGTCCCTCTCTGTTTCTGTCCCTCTGTCCCTCTCTCCCTCTCTCTGTTTCTCTCTGTCTCTCTCTCTCCCCCTCTCTGTTTCTGTCCCTCTCTCCCTCTCTCCCTCTCTCTCTCCATCTTGATCTCCCCCCTCTCTATTGTCTGTCTACCAAGTGATGCAATAAGGGATCTGGCAGACCGATGCAATTTATTCAGTGCACAGTGTTAGTGTGTGTATGTTTTCTATGTACGTCTGTGAGTGTGTGTGTGAGTGTGTGTGAGTGTGTGTGTGAGTGTGTGAGTGTGTGTGAGCGTGTGTGTGAGTGTGTGTGAGCGTGTGTGTGAGTGTGTGTGAGCGTGTGTGTGAGCTTGTGTGTAGTAACTGAAAAAGGCTCATGAGATAAAGTACACAAACTGACATTTTGTGGAGAATTTTCACCTTTTTTTAATATCAGTAGAAGCTCCTCAAACAATAACTAATAAATCATATACTTAAAGAATCATTTTATTCTCAAAGAAAGTTGATAGATTTCAAAAAGTTAAAGCAGCTACACCTTGTGTGACCTGTACGAGGTGTCACAACAAACAGTGAACATGTCAGGGTGGAACAGCTCATATGTTGCACAGGGAGGAGAGGGGACCCTGTAGGACGTCGACACACATGGAGAGAGTGAGAGAGGAGAGATACTGGCTGAGCTAGTGACAGTCAGATAGACGCAGTAATTAATTTCAGCTCGCTCTCTCTCTCTCTCTCTCTTAACTCCCATCCTCTGTAGACAGGCCTTATTGTTGTCTACTAATACAGTTATTAATGGAGGCCAGCACATAGGCCGCCTCAGTCAATCAAACATTATTTTTTATCAAGCTCCCCACCTACATAGAATGAACTACTGTTTCTCGGGGGCCTGTCTGTGAGGGAGCGAGAGAACATTTTTTCGTACATTTAAAGGGCTAAAAATGGCCGAGTGAGCCTCACAGCCAGTTTGTCTTCATGCCAAAAAATGTGAAGCTACAGCAGCGTTTCATAAGCCAACGTGATATTAGGTAGGTATATTTATAAAGCTTGAAATACAGTCACCTGTCTCTTGAAATATTTTAGCCCCCTCATTTTCAAACATTGAGCCGTGAGTGATTGTAACAGAACTGTGTCAGATAATGTGTGTTTGCATAACGGCTCCAAGTTTAGCCCCTATCAGCGATGTTTTAGAAAAAATGTGTTATCAAAATAGGCCTGTGTGGGGTTTTGAAGAGGAGCGACCTGGTTTTCTCAGTATCTTTGGAGATATATCTGCTGATGTAATAACAGTTTATTCTGGTTGTTGTGAATGTGCTACAGGCACAGCGGCTCCACATTCATGGTGAACTAACAGCTCCGCAAAACACAACAGTTTTTTTTGAAAGTAGCTTTCTTATTCTAGTAGCTTTCAGATTAGTGTCTGGGAAAAACCAATCTGACAGATGAGATTCAAAGAGGGAGGGAGAGGGGGGAGGGGGTCGTAGAAACAGCCCTGACTGATTCTGTCTAAATAGCTTTAAACCTAATAGTACCCAGAGAGCACAAAGCAAATGCTTAAATCTTAAATTGTTTCAACAAGGTATTGAACAGCTTAATTGAGGTGATTTATCAAAAACCTAATTGCACCGCTCTCCGTGCTCGAGGCTTTGATAGTAAAATGATGTGTTACTTGGCTAATGAGGGTTTTAAAGTCACAATATTGAGGGAAAAAAAAGTGTTACACTCCTTAAGAACAAACAAAGCATCACTGAGAGATCTGTTGTGGTTTATTTGTTCTTGATCTGTAAGACAGGGAAAGTATTTAGAATTAGTTTCTTTAAATATTGTTAGAAATGAAGGATTTAATCCTGTGTGGATGACTGTGTGCATTTTGTTTTTTGAATTGATAATAATCTGTTAAGCATACCTGCGTGTGCGCAAAGACACTTTTACATCTCTTACTCTGGTGTATGCATTTCCCTGCGTGTTCTTTTGTCCTCGCATGTCCGCATGTGCACTTGTTTGCGCCTGCGTGCAATACTGGTCTGCGGCCTGCGTCCCGTGTGTACGTGTCCGTGCGTGTGTGTATGTGTGTGTGTGTATATGTTCCAGGAGAGCCAGTGGCTGGACAGTGTATCTCTCCTCATCAAGGACACGTTGGAGGGGGAGATGCTGATGATCGACAACCTCTCCGGTTCGGTCTTCCACCACTACTCCTCTCCTCCACCGGTCTGCAAAGACTGCAGGGGCCACCCACTAGAGGTACCACCCTGACAATGCATGAAGGCTCACATGCATGGGATTCACCCGCACACATCCACAAACACTCAGAACCACAGACTCAGGTATCCTCAGAACATCACAGAGCCATGGATAGATTCATACTATTTAACATAAACTTCATATCTGTAATCGTACAAATAAAAACATAGAAAACATCACTGTATAAAGTTGGGCAGCTCCTCAGCTCTCTCTTTCATCCTGGCAGGGTTAAGATCATCTTGATTTATAAAAAGAGTTTTTTTCTCCTCAAAGTAGAACTAAATATGTATAAAAGCTGAGGCGTTTGGCCCGGTTTGGACTCATTCCCTTCCTCTGAAATGCTTATTAAATATGGCCGCAGGTGTTGTGTGAAACTGAACTCGAGGGACCGTTTAAATTAATTCAGACTGGATGCAAGCCCTGAAAAGTTGTGAAGGTAGAAACATAACATCTACCTTCTTTAGCATGCACATGTAGAAATGTTCAGGTGATTCAAACGCTTTTGCTTTTGTGGTATAGTACGAGGTGTTGAAGAAGCAAAGTGGGATTTTTCTGGCACAACTTCACCAACCAACAAGGTGCATGAAGGGTGAAAGGCGTGAAGAGGTCAAAAAGCTCCAGCAACACTTGTTATAGTGAGAAGATCAACTTTTTAAATAAATTAGACAGACGCGTTTCGGCTTGCAAATATAGTTATTTGCAGGTATAAAATTGAGAAAATGGTAAAGAAAACCAATCAAATACATCCGCATATGTATATCTCAGGCAGTAAGACCAGACCAATGAGTACAGAGGTGAGGAGCGTGTCCAACAAAGACAAAGATGACATCACACCTGGTCAACAACTAGGGGTCAAGGGAATGGTTTTAATCCTGCACAAGAATCTTTTAGATGCTCCAAAACAAAAAGAGTAAGAAGAGCATACAGTGGTACATATCATGAGGCTTCTGCTTCAAAACAATTTACTTAAAAGAATATGAAGAAACGTTTTTAAAAAGTACACTAGTACGAGGTGTTGGCAGTGTGAGGGATGATGTCTTTGCCTGCACAAAACCGCTCTAAAACACGGTTTATTAAATAACATTTCATAACAAGTGAGAGGTGAAACATGGTAGTCCTGAAACTCTGAACACACTCACACACACGTTATCGTATGCAAGACTCAGACATCCATCCTAACAGGTACACACACACTCCACCATGATGTCTTAGACCTGATAAGAACCATGCAGATTTTCAACAGGGACCCACACAGGAATATGCATTTGCATGCACTTTAATGGAGATACACACACACTCACACTAACAGACAATGGGCTTCATTCATCCTGCAGAGCAGTTTTTAATGGGAAGTGTTGTTAAAGTTCACGCATTATAAAGCCTGTCAGCGTTCTACTATATAGGACAGACTAACAGAGCATTTCAGACCCTTAATTAAACCCTATATCCACAACAGATAACATCAACTTTCCAAACATGCAGAAATGTGGATTAATGAGGCCCCTTTGCATGCTTACACACACACACATGCATCCATTCCTGATATGCATGCATTAACGCTCACACCAACACTCTCCTTGACTCCCGCCTGCATTTTGGGGTATTTTTGTAAACAGGAGATCCTGCATAAAGTCGAACACTTGCAGACGTACTGTCCTGTGCCTGCGTTGTCCATCACAGTGACAAAGTGCAGCGGGTCAGCTCAGAAGAAGCAATAACTGGGCTCTACACCTTCCCACCTGTCAGTCCTGCTTTCTGCCTGTCTGCAGACGCTGTCAAGCCATCACATTTTCTCCCCCTTTTTTACATCCTTACTATTTCCATCTGTCTCTGGCTATCCCTCCATCCATCTCTGATTTACTGTATCTGATGCTGTACGGCTCTCCCTCAGGTTTCATATTCTTCAACTATCAAACTGAATATTGTTTTTGTTTGTATTTGACAGAGCAAGAGTGGGTGTGTGGCCATTTTTCAGACAGATGAGTGGTTAAGTACGGTGTTATTGTGTTTTAAGGGGACAGGGAGAGCACAGCAGAACACCTTGGTGCAGTGTATGCGACAGTGAAAAGATTCATCAAAGAGCTGCCTAATAAAGACGTGTGAACCGCTCACAGCTTGAGTCTGACTGCTGTCGAGTCTGCAGGGATCGGTTCAGTGGAGCAGTGAAGGCCTTTGCCATTTATTGAGTTGCTAGCATCAACAGGCAGCGTCGAGAATCCTTCCATTGCATCTTTTCTCTTACAGCATAGAAGCATCAGAAGCTGTTTTCGAGCAGGCCGAGGCTTAGCTGTGGTAGCATGTAAGTCCCTGACCAGTTGTGATAAATATGGCTAACAGCTATAACGTAAGGTTGTCAAAATGTCTGATACCACATGTTCAAAATGATATAATCTCTGTTATTTAGTATCCAAGAGAGCCCAAATAAAAATAAAAAAAAACTACAACTAATTCATAATTCTGGTGCATCAAAATCAATTTTGATGGATCATGCATTCTGATGGTCTCCTGCACACACACATCCTGTCACATTTGCATGAAAACAAGGGCAACATTTCTAAATGTTGCCCTTGTTTTTGTGCAATTTAGACCAAGCGCAGGAGTTGACCTCAAATTTGGCCGTATCAAAACAGATATGAACATCGTGTGAATCTAGAATCTGGACTTTTTTTTTTACAAATGTTTAGACAAAAGAATCCGCCTTTCATGACAGCCCCATAAAATACCTTTTATCTTTGTCAATAAACGATTAGGAAATGTTTTTTTTTTGTACTTTTCTAACCAAAAGTCAGTCATTAAGGCAGTTTCTATGCCTATCTATCTATATAACACTGAAATATTTGAGCTTTTGGCTCTTTTACACCAGCTGAACAGGACCCTACTAGAATCACATGAAAGTTTAAAGTGATGGTGTTGTGCTGCTCTTAGTGGTTATATGAGCGAAGCTGTGGTGAAAGAAAAACCAAGATGGAGGAGAAGCTGTGTGTCAGTTTCTGCTCTTCATTGTTATCATCATGCAACCACTGGTGCGCCTGTTTGTGTGATATTGCAAATGCTCACCATGGTCTGAGTCATTTGATGTTGCCATGAGATATCAGTCATGCTTGTTTTTTTTGCTCAGTCACACATTCTCCTCTCGGTGCCTCCCTGCGGCACTGAATGAAACAATCCCTTTGCCCTCACCCCGCTAAGGCTGGTGGCAGACACTTTCCTCTGGTTCTTGCCCGGGTTGCTTATCGTGGTGGTGAAGCCATCCATATATCTGCAGTAACCTTGGAAGAAACTGTGTGGGAACTCTTCATGTACCCATTATGCTTTTTTTTGTATTGTCCCTGAGGGCACAGTGGAGAATACAGCGAGAGAAAAGGCTGTAGTTTCCAATACCTGCTGATAAATGTCCTCAGTGGTGACTCGCAGAGACCTTTTTTGAAGCTACTTACAGCCCAGATTTCAGGCACATTGAAGTATTGGTGCAGGCTGATATATGGAGACAAAAACAGAACAACTACAAAGTTTTCCTTTTATATTAATGAGTTGCATCGCTTTCCTTCTGCCTTGCCTCACCCCAACAGTTTCTCTCTCTCTCTCTCTCTCTCTCTCTGTCTGTATCTCTCTTTCTCTCTCTCTCTATCTTTCTCCTTTCTTGAGGGCTTGGGAAATGGTAAATCAATGCTGCATATCAGCCATGAATCTTTCTCTATGAACCTCTTTGTCTCTCCCACCTACAGGCATATGTTAATATATTGCCACCAGGGCTCTCGTCATTGGATTGTACTTGGCCCCTCTTTTGATGCTTCTTGTTGGCTATTTATTGCTCCGTCTTTTTTTAAAGGAACACTGCTTCAGTTGCATCGCATCAAACCCCAGAACCCAGAAATTCCTCTCCAGCTCACTGCTCGGTATGTTTTGAAACTGTGCATAAAAAAGAAAGTGCTGCAAGGGTTAAGAACAGAGAAAGAGTGTCAGCTTTAGAAGATTGAGCTCACAGAGGAGGTTCATGCCGTGCTAATTTAAAAACAATTCGAGAGCCATATGGGCTGAGGTACCTGCAGCCCTGATGAAACAAATTGAGCTGGAACAAATGAGAGAGAGAGAGAGAGAGAGAGAGAGAGAGAGAGAGAGAGAGAGAGAGAGAGAGACGTAGTAACAGTTGGAGTAATTGTCCTCAGGTCTAATTGTTCTGTGCTTGGTATTGTTGTTTCTTTGGTCGTCATTTCGTTGAACTACTGACACATTGACTCTATATAAAGATGGGCGATACGTCTCCACCATACCTCATTGCACAAGAGTGAAGCCAAAATAACGATAATGACACTTTTTGGAGCCAGAGTCTGCATTGGTGCCCCCTACTGCTACGCAAAGCACATACTTAACTTACGGACAAAACAACAGAGATCCCTCAGGTCAGCACAGTCCACAGCAGAACACTTCCTTGGAAAGTTGCTTGACTCCTGTGTTGATCCTAGGGATCATCATCATCATCATCAACCTTTATTTAAGTTCTCGGAGAGATCATTGAGGGCGACCCTCATTTACAATGATGCCAGAGAAAACATACATAAATGATAAACAACGAGAAATGAGATAAAGCTACTGCAGAAAATAAAATCAATAGAAGAGCAATAAAATATGTACACTCAAATCATTTAAAAGCTTGAAATTACTACAGTGATAAGTCAGTAATTAAAATAAAATAAAACAATTACAGTCCAGTATTGGGCAGTTTAAAATAATATTTCTAAAGTGTCCATAAGGGATAAAAGTGCTCAAATTCAGGTCCTGTTGTAAAATATTCCAGGAGTTTGCAGCACTAACACTAAAAGCAGTTTTCCCCAGGTCAGTCCTGGCATGAGGAACCTGGAGAACCAGTGTGTGTGACTAGCCGTCTATAGGTTGTAAGGATGTTACCCTAGTTGTAGGACACTAGAATTACTAGTAGATTAGATTCATTGTTCACGTTTATATATGTTTGCCCTTAATGCGGGTCAAATGTTGTGCTCAAACTGTAACACAGCTGCCCGCCACTAGTCGGGGCTGACGCCATAGACTGGCTGTAGCCTCGGCTAATGGGCCTTCTCTTTTGGCTCTACTGCCCGGATGTAAACAAGCACAGTGAACAGATAGCGTTGCCTAGGAACAGAGGGGTCTGGCAGTGTTTTGATGAAGACAAATTTAGATGTAGGTTTTAACCTGTAGGCTGTGTCAGGTTAAATTGGCATATAACCACTGGACCGTCGCAATGTGTAACCACGTTTAGCACGGGTTTGTGAAGGTTAGTCTGCAAGGAAAACTGAAGGCTGGTGGTGCTAGCACCGCTAACTCTAGCCCGATCGGTAAACCAAATGTTACTGTTACTTTTACCCGCAGACAATATCAAATAGCTGGTGCTAAATTTGAACTGTTAGACTATTTGGTTAGAAGGAATTTAAATTTCTCTTTAACCGACTTGGAAATACGGTGGTAGGAACATCCCTAGTTTTAATGCTAGTAACGCTTTCTGTCATCATTTACTCTTCTACTCTGCTACTCTGGTACAGGAGCCTGTTTGTCAAGCCTCCAGGGGGCAATCATGATGTTACACCCCTGTTTTAAAGTGTCAAATATTCCATTAAAACTAAATCAGCTAGTAAACAACAGAATCTGAGGAGGAAGGCTTTTATTTCCTATACTACAGCCAGCCGCCAGGGGGCGATCAAGATGTTACGGTTATCTTTTTGGGTTGCAGACTTGTCGTTAATGTTTTTTATGCAGTCTAGGTAACACAGTACTGTAAACTCAGCGGCAACATTTGGATGTACAGCCACATTTTGAAAACATACCCAGTTGGCTGTGAGGGCAGAATTATGTGATTCTGGTGCCGCTCCTGCCGGGGGATTGAAAGAAAAAAAACCTTTTCCACTCATGCTTACATATACATGCAGGTGCACAAAAATATACAAAAACATGCACACACACACACAGCTGCTTTATACGCACTGCTTGGATTTCTGCCTCTCGCCTCTCTCGTCACATGTTTTTTTCAAAGCACTGGGAAATACTTGTTCCATTGATGATGACAAAGCTCTGTTATTCCTTTATGAAATCTCTCACCCTGCTCTCTTCACAGACAGGTGCCACGGCATTTTGGATTTGCTCTTTGAAATGTCAACATCTGGTGAAGCATATCGAAACAAGGCGGAGGTTTTGCCTATCATGTCTGTTAAGCTCATATTGGCCTATAAAAGATAGGAAGGCATCAAGACAGATCCATCTTCAGAATGTTGTTGCTCATCCTGTAAATGTTATATCCATGTACACAAACATGTAAGATCCAGACTCCATGGTTGTTGTGAACCCCAGAGTATATTACACATAATTTTGAACACTTATAAGACCTTGCTCTGTTAATTCATTACAAGAAGTCAGACACATTTTTTCTGTTCCTGTCCCCCCCCCATCCCCTTCCTGTTTTGAGACATGAATAACAGAGGTGCATTTTTGTAGCAGATCAGGATGGCAGAGATTGAGCAGGCGTCGCTGAAGTCAGAGCAACTTTCAGACAAGTCCTCCTCCCCGGCGCTGCCAGATGACCTCAGCCTGGACGAACACACAGCCTACCAGCTGTTGGCAAGAGAGTGCAAGGTGGGTATGAGCAGAGTGTGTTGAGTAGAGGGAATGAACATCTGCACTACTGGGAAAAAAAATAAGAGAAATACTTGGAAAAAAAAAATTATTGAAAGAAAATTTTCCAAATGGGCACTATTTCTAGCGGGACTTTTATGTGAAGCCAAATTAAAGGCAGAGAGATGAAATGAATTTGTTTTATTTGTAGTTTGCAGTGCAGCTCTGGCAATCCTTTCTCTCTAGGATTCTACACATTTGCCATCTGCCATCAGGTCGTCGCCTGATCAAATGAAGTTATGATCATTCCAGTCATAACAAGAAGTGAATACCTATGTAGCAGCAAAAACGGAGTGTTGTGTGTGACGGAGACAGAGACAGAGAGAAAGCACTTAAATGATAAATGAGTTGGGCTGGATACCTGCATGCATCCTTACTCAGAAATTAAGCAAAGGTAGACCCAGCTTCATCCCGGTGCAAAGATTTTTCTGTGTGTGCTCAAAAAAAAGGGTTAGGGGTTAGATAAAAATTGCTGCGCTGATCCTTACAATACAAATTGCCCCACAAATTTTAGTTTTGGAAACTTTACTTTGTACTGGACATACCGGCACTTTGTCCAAACTCCCTCAGGAGGGTGAAAACACAATGCTCTCTTGATTACTTTTGTATTTATTCCAGGAAGCACAAAACAAATGACCATTTTAAAATCCTTCTCATGGCTTTGCAGTGGGTACACTCCCTTGTGAATTACAGATATAAACCTAGGTTCTTAAGGTCTCTTTCTCTCTGTGTGTATCAGTTGTAACTATCTTGCCTTTGAGGAGTCTCTTTCCACCGCAGACCTTCTTATAAATAAAATGAGTCCCTGGTTGCTGTCCTGGGCAGCTCTCATTCTTCCCTCTCCTGCACCCTCTCTCTTTTCTCTGTTTCGACTTTATCTCTTATGATTCTCCTTTCTCACTGCTAGTCCTCTGGTAATTGCACTCCTTCTCTGCACATCCCTCCAGCCCCTCTATCTCCATCCCTTATCATCTGTCCTTCCTAGATATCCTCCTCTGTAATGGGGTAATGCTCCTTGGTTCTGGATAGTGGTTGATAAGCCTGCTACCACCAAGCATGGCTGTGAACCACAGCTCATTAGAGGAGGGGAAATAGAGAGAGGGAGGGGCAGAAGGTGAGGAAGGATCTTAGGTTAGGGATCTTATTTGTCAAGCGTTTCTTTGGAAAAGAAATGTGTGTTTGTGTGTGAGGGTGGCATTAAGCATGTGTGCCAAGCCTGTGTGAGGTTTGTGCGGATGTGGGTGGCTGCCTGTTTGAAAAGGGGGGGCTGTTCAGGGGCTTGGACTGAATGACTCAGAGGTACAATACACTAATGGAATCACAAAGGCTTACCCACACACCCACGCATACACACACACACACACACACACAAATGATTCTGCAGTCCCTACACGATGGTAATTAAAAGTGACGACGTAAAAGCTGAAATCCTGCTTCCAGCTGCTGCAGCCATCACACACTCTCACACATTTATAACCAAGTGGTTATTGTTGCAGTATATGTATCATTAACATGACAATAACAGGCTCGTTCAGCTCATAATCAGTTCTCACCCCTTCACTTGCACTTCACTGAGTACCCTGAGGGGCCGATGTGAATCAGAGGCCATGTGTGATTCATGCAACTTCCCAGAGGGGCTGCTTTTTTTTCTGTACTCATTTTTTCTTCCAGGCTCTGTCCAGGAATTGTTGCAAAATATCGTTTTAGCCAGCGTTGTCCCTTTGCAGAAGAAATAAGAGGTTAAGGCTGTACAGCTTTTTCATCACATAAGCCCCAGCAATTTCCAGCACATAATTATCTTCTTTTTTTTTTTTTATTGAACCTATCCCGTCATGTCTAATTTATCTTCCTTTTTTAAATGAAGTTAGGTAAGAATCCATATTAATCCTTTATTAATCAATCCAAGAGATTTACAGGAAGTCCTTCTCTCTAATGTCAGATCATCTGTTCTCTCCTAGGGGAGGTGCAGCAGTGATTCCCGCAGCTCCGAGGAGGCCGGAGGAGGAGGAGGAGGAGGAGGAGGAGGAGGTCACCACACTCAGACGGTGGTGGAGAGTCAGGTGCAGGGGTCGGGCCATCCCTGCCTCCTCGCCCTCAGTGCTGGTGGTGACGCGGATCCTTCGCTGCAGGAGATGGAGATGCAAATACACCAACCACATATGTGCTCACCTCACTGTAGCCCAGGTGAGTAAACCAGTACATCGTCCAGTGTAAAACAAGAGTGATTCCAAAAGGAAGTCATATTTAGAAGTAGATTAAAAAAAAATTCTTTAGGAGAAAACAAGTGTAAATATAGTTATCAGCTTACATTAAATACCAAAGTGTTGTAAAATAAAAAATCAGTGGTGGCTGGTGAATTATTCTTCATGGGGGAGCAGTTTCTCACAGAGCGCTGTGATGCACTTCCTGGTTTGTTATCTTGATGCTAACAAATAATGGAAACTGCCACTTACAGGTCAAAAGAATTAAGTGTCTTTTTAACATAAGAAACCGTTTATTTAACTTCACAATGTTCAGTAGACTAGATCATTTCTAAAGTCAAGCGATGCATCTCTACAGTCTGTAACGCTTCAGTTGGTATAAAGTCAGTGGCTTGTGGTATGAATTCATTTAGCCAGAATGATCGGCTAATCAGAGGGGGCAGGGCAAGACACCTGTCAATCATTTTCACTGCTCATGAGAATCGAAGAGGATGCTACCATACTTTGGCTGTAAAAAAAAAAATTCCCATTTAGAGATAGGAAGGTTTCTCTTGTCTCTTCTATGGGGTTCGGGTGCTACTCCAGATTCCCCCCCGAACTTTAAAACAATCTGAAGTTATTTGGGGAGTATTTTTATTGTCTTTACTGCATAAAAAAGGGAGGCTTCAGCCCTGCTAGCCCATTTTTTTTTTTTACCGCTTGATGAGAGGCAACAATACATGACTTGATAAGAAGATAGAAATGGAAAAGAGTGTATTCCCTCCACAAGGTGGCGTTTCCAACAGCAGCAACAAGGGGAGGACTAAAGATGGAGAAAGCGGCGCCAGTGGAGTTTCTCCTCTCTTCCATCTGCCTGCAGAGTTCTTCCACCCCACCGCAGCCGCCATCCCAGCACCTCCACGCAGCCGGAGCCTACGCCTGACGAGGGGCCTCAGGTTGACCTCCCCAGCCTCCTGGGCTTCGCTCCGCTCCCCGGGAGTCCGCAGCAAGATGCTCTGCACGCAGGTATGGAGAGAGGAGAGGGGGAGAGGGGGGGGACAGTCGAGCAGTTTAGACAGCATGAAGAATGAGGCTCAAGCTTGAGCAAGAGATTGATGTTCATGTTGCAGAAAAGGAAGATGAATCTTTGTGCTTATTTGGATGAGAAATCGTGTCGATTGTATTCCCTGACAGCTGATGATTTATAAAATGTGTGCAAAACAAAAAACCTTGTCAATGTTAGTTAAAAAACTTTCAGAGTGACATGTGTGGAGGCTATAGTCTTCCAAGCGGGCGGCCCAGGTTCGAATCCAGCCTGTGGCTCCTTTCCTGCATGTCATTCCCCTCTCTCTCTCTCCCTGATTTTCAACTCTATCCACTGTCCTATCTTTCAATTAAAGGCACAAAAAACCCAAAAATAAATCTTTAAATTTTTTTTTTTTAAATTCAGAGTGATCCCTCTTCTCTGTTTTTTTTACAGCGTTAAAAGAGAAACTGAAAGACAATACACAAACATACAAAAGTTTGACTATGGGTTGTCTTTGGTGATTCGATCCATGATATTAATTTCATAAATGACTCCATACCAGTTTTCTATGGATGGGGTAACTGGCTGAAGACGTTTTGTGTCATTGCCTCGCTCAGTATACCAAATAAGTATTTAGTTTTGTTATTTGTAGATGTGAGATTCCAGCGTAAAGTTTGCTCCCACATACAATTAAATTTGTCCCATTTAACGTCTGGATCTTTGCCAGAAACCGGTTACTGAAGGACCGGGCCCAAACAGGTGATAATGATTATTTTCCTGGAGACCGCAGCTCCTCCATTAGGTGGAAACACCCGAGCGATGAGATTAGTGAACAGGTGTGATAAAGTATTTAATAAGACTTTTGCTCTCCATGAGGTCAAGCTTCTTATCTTCCATTCAAATTTTTAGTATTTTCAAAAAAGCTTTTCATAGATGCTTATATATGTATACTTCCTCGTTTTGTAGGACTCGTTTTCTTTTTTTACCTCTTGAAGCAGTCTGTACAACCTTGAAATTATATTAAGCCCAGAGTCTCCTCGGTAAGTACTTAAAAAAAAAAACATTCAGATTGTTCTCAAACGCTTCTTGAGTCTCTCATGTTGAACTGTTTATGTGGTGGCTGATTTGAAATCTAAAAATGTCTTTATTATTCAATCAGTGTTTGAAAATGTCTTAATGTTCCCTGGATAATAAAAGTGCAGTAAGAGGAGAGGCCTTGTTGTGCTCTGCCCTTATAGGCAGCATCCAGTCAAGCTCATGAGAGCGCCATCTCAATATCTTTACCTCCTCAGACAAGACACTCTTAGGAAAATATTCAACCATGTTTTCAGAGAGAGAGACTTTTTCCACACGTTTCTGACTGAAAGTTGAATTCATGCGCTCTCTTTTATTTCTCCCCCTCCCTTCTGTCCTCAGTACCCCTCCCACAGTGACTCGTCCCTCGCCACAGGCAGCTCCGAGGGCAGCCTCCAGACCACTCTGGAAGAGGGACTGAGCTTCAGCATCTCTCCACCACAGAACCTGGAGTTTCCCCTGCCGACAGCTCCGCTTCCGCTCGCGTGCCCCATCACGCTGCCCGAAGACAGCACAGACATTTCCTCCCCGGTCCGGACCCTGAGACCGAGGCCGAGCCCCTCGTCGGCCCTGACCCTCCAGGCCACAAAGGGGCATCAGCGGAGCCAGAGCAGTGGGCGGGGAAGCACCAGCCCGGGCTACACCCGGGACGACTCGATCGACCCTTCAGACGAGGACCTGGGCATAGTCATCGGATCGTCGATTGGCGGTTGTGGTTCCAGCCAAGCGGGGAACAGTGAACACTTGTCAGAGACGCTGAGCAGCTTGTCGCTGACATCACTGCTGTCCCCCAGCTCTCTGGTGTACCCCGGGGGAGCGGTGAAGAAATGTAACAGCACGGGCAGCCTGGACCAGGGGGGTTTGCTTTCTGTCGTCCCGCTGCAGAGAGGGCCGCAGGGAGATCTTGGGTCTGGAGATCATGGACCCTCAAGGCTTCTTGGCCAACCCCTGGACTGGGGTATTAGTGGACACAAGAAGAGGAGAAGGAAGAGGGGAGCTGGGCGATGGCGAGCAGGGCTTTAAAGGGAAGAGCTCAAGCCAAACAACAGTCGGGCCTTGTCGGAAGAACAGATGAAACCGACTTTTCTCCTTTTTCTTTGTCCTCACCATTCCTTGGATCTAATCCCATTGCTGTCCTTCTCACTCTCTCTGCTCCCATCGTGAGAGAGAGGCTCGATGACACATGATGTCTTGAATCCAGAACCAAACCCTCATCTCGCACCCTCAACCCCTCTTCTATACATTTTGTGACAAGCCCATGTCCAACTTTGCGCTAGCTTGGGGGAGTCGTTTTGGTTTTTTAGCCTGCTGGTGAAGAAATGGCCTGCAGAGTTAAAACCCCAAGGGCTGAAAATAGGTCCTTAAAGCCTCTTTGGGGGTTGTACCTGAGAAAAAGGACCATGGAAGTGTTTTTGCTCATTTTTGAAGAACAGGGCGTGCATTTTTATCAGGGAGTCAATTGGAGCAGAGACAAAAGAGCTTAACCTCAAAGACACAGAAAGACGATGCTCAGCGGGAAGTTTCCTTTTCTCTGCGTTGGCTTGGGGTTGAAGTGCAAAAATAGAAGTACCAAAACTGAAATAGCTATTCATACCAACAGAGGCTGTTTGATGTGTTTTTCACTCGGAGGCAGTGCAGAAAAAGCAAGTGGAAGGAAGCTAAGAGATGGCAGAACATATCAAGGGCGGAAGGAAAGGCTGGGGAAGGAGAAGGCAGGTGATTTGTTTGGCCCGGGCGAGCAGGAGCGGATCTAATGTCCATCTGCTCCGGCAGACGGAAACAACAGGTCCCGCTCACTCCTGCCACGGGACCTTCTGCTGGGTTCAGAGTGAAACGCGAGGTGGACGAGAGTTCAGGAGTGTGTGCTCGATTTGTGTGTTTGTGTGTGTGTGAGAAGCACTGCCTCAGGTATCCAAGGCATGAATTAAAAATCATCACTTCACCGTACCTCTGGAACAGGAGATTGATCAAAGCTGATTGATCAAAGCTTTGTGCGCCTCGCTGCAACTTACTCTCGAGCGGCGGCGGGAAAATTAAAAAAGAAATTGACAGATCGCAGAGGTAGAACTGTGCATGGAGTGATTTGTGAAATTGTTTTATTTTTATTTCTATCTGCAGCATCTGTCACTCGCTCAAAAATAATAAAAAAAGAGCTCAGTTGGATGGAACGCTACAAACACCCTATCACAAGAAACAATAATGTGTGTCTGGGGCCCGCCTTGTGTGCACCAAAAAAAAATGTTTCACTGCTTCTTCATAAAGTGAGACCTGAAAGCACACTCTTTTTGACGCCCCCCTTCCTCTCACCGTGCTTTAGGATTCGAGCTGAACGGACAAACCCCTACGGGAGCTGTGATGGACTCGACTGCATGATGGAATTGCATTTAACCAAGATTTTTTTTATATATAAGCAGAAGTGTAAGAAGATGTCAATTGTCGGGTGATAACATGATTTCTATTCCACTATTTTTCTAGAAAAAAAGAGAGTAGGCACGTGCAAGTCTCGACTTTGTCCTCGTATCATTTAACCTGTACCGACTCTTAACGACTTGTTGTCTAGGACTTTTTTCTGTCTTGCCAGTGGCTTCCAGTTTTATAACATTTTTTTAAGGTGTGGACAGTGCATAAAACAAAGAAGCAAAAAATTCAAATGAACTCTGTTGCGCTGAAGTGTTTGTTCCCCTCCAGCACATATCTCTCTGGGAACACTGGTTTCCTGTTTGATCCTTTTTTTTTTTTTTTTTTTTTCTCCAAACGACGGAGTCCCAGAGGACAACCAAGAGATGGGGAACAGCCATATTCACTCACAGCACACGAGGATCGTTTCTAGCTCACAGACATTTCCTGTTTGCACACAGGGAACTTGTTTGCTTTAAGCCTCCTATGTTAAAAAAACAACAAAAAAAAACATGAATAGCTTCAACCATCTCTATGAAAGCTTTATTTTGAGAGTTACACCACATATACATATCGATTCTGGACACATTTGTGTTCCTCAAGCATGGTTCTGGGATTGCAATACAGTATGCTTCTTCTTTAATGCACTCATCTCCTCGTCCCCTCGTCTCCTCACACATACAGTCTGTTGTAGCAAACTCTTCCACACACCATGGTTTATACATGAATGGGTAAACGTTGCATCTTTTTAATGCAAACTCATTTTTTGTTATTCACCCCATTCTTACCGGAGATGCTCATCCTTCCACCTGAGTTCTAGACGTAGATTGTTGTATCCTGAGTGTTTGGATCATTACCTTTTCTTTTTTTTTTTTATTTCTCAAAAAGAATAAGGTGATGAGAGAAAATCCAGTCTGACCTTTTTCATCATGCAAAATCACTTTGATGACTATGTTTTCTCACATGGTGTTGGGTATCAATGAGTGATAGTAAAGACGGTTGTGCGTGTGTGCGTGTGTGTGTGTGTGTTTACGACTTCAGGTGAAGTGATTGCCTTTTCCTGAAGTGTCCTGTTTGTTGGCGAGGAAACCTGATATTAAAGCGAGAGAAAACAGGAAGCAACCAAGGGCTGTTTTAGCTTCAAAGATATGTCCTTCTATCTTTCTGAGACAAAAATCCTTTTTGTCAGTGAATATGGCATCAAAGGTTAAAGCCTGACTACGCAGCAATAAATGTTCTCTGTGTACGCCCTGAGTAAACGATGTCAATGTGATTTTTATCTCCTCAAACACATACAGTATCCATTACTGTCTCTAATCCGATCACATCGCAACCTCTGCCCTCTCGGCGACCAATCAGTGGAGAGAGACGGGCTGCAATTGAACGACATGAAATAATGAGGTCATTGAACTCAGGTCGGGGGGTAAAAACCACTACTCACATTTTTAAAGATTAGCTGTAAAGGTGTGCTCAGACTGACCTCGGAGGGAATTTTGCAGCTTGCTTTATTCCGCACAAATTTGACTGCTGGAGTGTTTTTTTTTTTAACGCCGCAGACAGTAGATGCACCTGCAGTTCCAGATGTTAGCTGTAACTACCTAACAATGCACCACCTGTGTGTGTGTAAGCAGAGTGTGCCTTTGTACAGTATGTATGTGTGTGTGCTGTGACTTTGGCTCAGACTGATTTAAAAAAAACTTGCCGGGAGCTCCAGTTTCCTCCTGACTCTTTGTCTCTGCAAATTCATGAAGTGATGAAGTCGAGCGGCGGTGGGATAAGCACACATTTTATCGAAAAAGTATCTTGACCTGTGCAGACATGTTTTTTTTGCTTCAACTCACGCTGCCTTGAAAAAAAAACTGTCCACCTCTTCTGTACGATGAATTTGTATGCAGCCACACGGCCTCTGAGAGTTGCTTTTGAGTTCAGTCTGAACACAACTTGAGAGTGTACAATTCACATTTGTACATATCTTTGTATCTTGATCTGCATGTGTGCATTGCTGCCAGTGACCATGATTATATCATTAGTATGCATTTCATAAAAATTGTACAAAGATAAAGGAAATGCCCCTACAGTTTTTTTTTTTGACTGCTGCTATGGAACACTAAAAAAAGAAAAAGTCAGATCCAGAATAACATGTGTATATATATAAAAGCTGCTGTTCAGTTTTTTTTTAAATAAGTCTTATTTAGATTTGAATGACCAATCAGTGGAGAGATGGGCTCCAATTAAATGACGTGAACTAAGATAAGATAAGATAATCCTTTATTTATCCCACAACGGGGAAATTGACATTGTTACAGCAGCAAAGAGCAAAGATTGCAAACAAAAGTGAACGCAGTAAACAATTTAAATAAAAGAACTAAAAATGTACAAAAAACTAAAAAAACAAAACTAGAAAAAAGAACTAATGAGGTTATTAAGAGTACAGGGAAAAGGGGGTTGGTTCAGTACAATCCAAAGCAGGCAGAGAAAGCCAGTGACAGGACAGGGACACAAAAGCAGGAAGTGCTGTCGTGGACATCTGGACATGAGGAGAGCGAACAAAACAGTGTGCAGACGCAGAGGCAGTGCAGATGCTGCAGAAACAGGAGACTTCTCCAGACAGCTTGTCATCGACATCCTTGCCCAGCAGAGCCGCCAGTGCGAGAGAGCGCATTAGGCATGCACGCTGAACTCTGAGGTGTTGTTTACCTCACACCCCCCCCACAACCAGCCAGCCAGCCAGCCAGTCCAACCTCTCAGAATCAGCTCTCCCTGCAGGGCCCCCTGTCCTTCAAATGTCACTGCAGCAAGGGTGGAGGTGTGTGTGCTGAGCGGTAAGTTTGCATGAGACGGAGTGTGTTTGTGCAAGTGAATATGTCAAAGCTTCAGTTCTATGCAAGGGGTCTTTAAAAACAGTGTCCTGTCATCGGAAATTTGAGGGCATTGACTCCGCTTTGGACTTCCATCCCTTGGGGGAGCGAGACGACTTCTGCAACAGGAGTTCCAAAGGTCAGGGATCCAATAAGCCTCGTGGGGGTTTCTGTGCCCGAATTGATTGATTTCATCCCCTGAGATATCAAAGTCCCTCGGGTGCAAGAGAATATTTTTCATCTCACCTGGAAACCCACTGGTCTTGTCTCAGCTGCAACCTTTATAGTGATTCTGTACAGCATGACAAAGGTTGCAGTTTTACAGCAGCAAACAGGTCCTCAGGGCTCGACAAAACTCCTTCTGTAAAACTGAAATAGAAAACAAATGTTCCAAATGCATCAATCAAGGGGATTCTTCTGAGGTGAAAAAAAATTAATTATATTAAAGTGGGTCAACGCGTGTTTTTTTTTGTTTTGTTTTTAAAGAAAAAGATCCTCATCTCCTTGCTGAAGATGTAATGTGGAAATGTAGCTGAGATAAAGAGAAGTACTTGTCAAATGCATCACAACCCCCAAAAGCTTTGTCAAACATAATTCTAAAAAAAAAAGTCCAAACAGATGTGTCTCATTAACGTGTTTGTCTCCGGGCACAAGAGGGAGGAACTGGAATCTTTCGCACAGCATCCACCTTGTTTATGGATATGTTGCTTTTCTGCTTTTTTCCCGGGGGGAGGGAGGATGGAAGCTTTTTTGAGTCGAACGGTGAGTAAATGAGAAGTTGTTTTTTAGTGCTTTGTGGCACCTAATGAGTCGTTTAAGCTGCCACAGTGTCTTTTGAAGTGTTGAGAGGTGAAACTGTGAGGCAAACTGCGGGGCCATGAAGCCGTTACTGTACATCAAGGCTATACTCTTTGAAGCCCAAAGATGGTGCTCACCATTTTGAAAAAATGCTGTCCCAACCTAACTTTCAGTCAGTCTACTGTCAGGCGGAGAGGTGAAAGTTTAGGCAGTACTTTAGTCTCTTAGCCTGCATCATCAAACATGCTAGAAACAAAAAAAAAGTTAAAAAAATGCATTTTGTATGTGACTTCCGAGGATTTTGGTGCCAGCCTCAAGGGGAAACACTTCCACGATGGCTTCATTTTTCCGCACTCAGAGAAGACTAAAATTCAGGTTTATTATTACAGTTGTGAAAGCGTCAAAGTTTCTCCTTTCTCTGTCTCATTTCTTTAATCACATCAGTCTGCAAAACCTCCCTGCTGACATACACACACACACACACACACACACACACACACACACACACACACACACAAAAAAATGAAGGCAGTGTATGGAAACCAGCTACTGTCAGCTGTCCAGGCTAACTGCTCAGGGAGTTGTCCAGGCCCAATCGATTGTATCGGGGGCTCCAGGGAGAGAGGCAGATAAAGGCAGGTTTTTATAAAGGTGGCACGACAAAAGGATGAATGTGGTGCCTGTGAAATGAGCTGACTGGAGGAGATCAGATGGAATGACTGTCGATCTGCGGATGAACTGTAAGCTCTCTGAAATCACAAATACTTCTGAGGGGTTTTTGTTTTCTCATTTGAGTGTCTCTTTGTTCTCTCTCTCTCTCTCTCTCTCTCTCTCTCTCTCTCTCTCTCTCTCTCTCTCAATTCAATTTTTCAATTCAAATAGCTTTATTGGCATGAATGTGTAAAATATGTTGCCAAAGCATATAATAACAAATAATACAATAGTAATAATGAAAAGTAATAATTAGCGATTAAATATTTTAACAATGAAGAAAAATAATAATAATATTAATAATAAAAATAAAAAAAGATAAAAAATAAAAGATTAAATTAAAAAAAAAAAGTATATAGTGTGTGCGTGTGTATGAGATTAACACAAGTGCTATGTGTATTTGTACCTTTTTGTGTGTGTGTTCAGGTTCCACTGGTTGGATAGGGTTAGGGCAACATCTCTCTCTCTTTTCTCTCTCTTCTCTCTCTTCTGTCTCTCTCTCTCTCTCTCTCTCTCTCTATGTCTCTCTCTATGTCTCTCTCTCTTCTCTCTCTCTTCTGTCTCTCTCTCTCTCTCTCTCTCTCTTCTCTCTCTCTCTCTTCTGTCTCTCTCTCTCTTTCTCTCTCTCTCTCTCTCACCATATCAATATCATGACCTGGCTTTTCTCTCTCTAACGATGAAAAAAGCAGGAACAGTATCCACACTTTGCCCCCCGTCAACCCTAATTCAAAGGGGGAGCTGGGTAACCTTTATGACCTTTCAAATTATTAACATAGAAGTGTTGCAAAACACACACATAGACACCCACCCAGGCACACTTGATCTTTTTCCTAGCACCCATCGTGAGTGTGCAAGGGAGGGTGTCTGTCTGAGGATCAGTGCTAATGGCTGAAGCTTATCCCTTCACAAACAGAGTTTCCCTCCTCTCTCTGTTTCCTCCTCTACCTCTGCGACATAAAGCCATTAGAGAGAAGGAGAAGCAGTGACAGCTGAAACCGTGAGATTGGGAACAGTGCTGACACTGCTGGTTTTCAGGCTCTCTGAATAGTCGTCTCTGTGGATGATTGACTCTGGGTTTTTCTCAGCACCTGGCCTGTGTTTTGTAAGATAATAGTGAAAAATAATACAGTAACACTGTTGAGCGACCGGTTAATGCCGGGAAAGATTTATTTGAAGGGGAGCGCTGTCGGTTCAGGCAAATGCACGGCAGAGTGTTTTCAGTACAGATTTGTAATCCAAGTTCATGCCATGGCATCGCTATTGAATTTAAACTGCATTTTCCCTTAACAGGAAAACAATTTTTGAAGGCTGCAAAACTCCCTTTATAATTTAAAGGAATCCTTTTATTACATTTACAGCAAAACAGTAATAACTTTTTCACCTGCAAACAATAAAAGCTTGAATTAAAACCACAAAGCAGCTTTAATCCCACTTTAAAAAAAACAAAACAAAGAATCAATGAGCACTCTGTTAACAGTGTGGAGATGTAAAGTGGTGTTTGTAGTGATGAAACAGTGGTCCACATCTTCATCTCCCCTTGGCTACACGGAGATAGAAAGTGTAGCGTTCACTGTTATATCATTTCTTTGGGCTGCTTTTTATTTCCTTTAGGAATTGTTGGAGAACAAAACGGAGCTTGAAGCCGTAGAATATCAGATCCATATTTAAAGGGTGGAGGGAAACTCAACATCCAATGTCATTTAATGCACATGAATATGCATCTGATTGATTAATAGAACTTTATTGTCAGACGTGGTCTGAAATTTGTCTTGCATCACAGCGGCTCCATTTGCAACATAAAAAATTAAGACAGGATACGAAGATACAAACATTTGACACAACATTCAAACACCAAACAAACATTCAGAGGCCTTTGACTTGCTTTGTTCAGGGATTCAGCTCCGCATTTAATTTTAGAATTGACTGGTGAACAGAGGATTGTTTCAGTCTAGCCTTATCAAAACAAGGGATCTGTTTACTCACCAGTGCTCCAATTTAACTTAAGAGCTGATGACATATCGATGTTGGGTTTTCCACTTACTATCGTGGCCCAAAGTGGCCAAAAAGATCAGCTCTTAGACTTTATGTAAGGTGGATGCAGCAACAGTTAAATACTGTAGCCATTAAATATATATCAACAGAAACAGAGAAGTGAAGGGTTGGCAAAGACTAACATTTTTACAATTACTCTTTCGACTGCAAAAAGTGAATTCATTGGCTTCTTTATTAGTCAGAGAGAGTGTTTTTCACAGTGAAAATCTGATTTATTAGGCTAGTATGTTAGCTACTTAACATGCAGTCTTTAGCAGATTTAATCACTTTTTGAGGCAGCCTCAAGTGGACACTCCAGGTACTGCAGTTTTTGTCACTTGTGGGTTTGCGTCATTTTTCAGCGGAGGATGTTTGGATTTGGTGAAACATCTTGCTTTCAAAATTACTTAAAATTCCTTTGAGGTCAGATGACATATGCATGATATGTTAGGTAAGATTCAATGTTTTGCTGTGGCTTATTCACTCTTCTCATGCTGACTATATTCTGTATATGTGTGTGTATTTCAGTGAGAGGAAATCATGACTACACTACGACCAGTGCCTTAGTCTTCATGATGGTGCAACACAAAGCTCAGATTTCATTTCCTAACTGCAGCGAGCAGGGACACGATTGTTTGCAAAGCAGAAATGTGAGAAGGAAAAATTAAATTAGGCCCGC